GCCTTGAATGTACGGTATATAAATGCTTCTTCTTTCCAAAAGTTGGTTGTTCATTTCCTTCTATGTCTTCTTTCTCATACTCCATGATAAATCTTTTAGTATATCCATTTTCTTGTAAACATTTCACAATAATTTTTAGTTCTTCGTCTAACTTGTATATAGAACATAATTTTGTCACTTTGTTGTAAACTGTTTTGACTAAGATGTTCATGTAGGTGCCAGATCCATGTATCTTCTCTGTGGGTGATTTTTTGCAATCTGATCACCCGGTCCTTAGCCCGGGTAAACAGGGAAGGTTGGGCATCTGGCTAGCAACCCTTCCCATTTAAAACAAATCTAACCGCTAAAGAAACTTCAGAGCACAAACGAAATATAAAAAATAATAACAAAATTATTCCTTGCTGGATTCGGAGAGGCAAAATGACGCTGGTTGGTGAAAGCCTTCGGGAAGCCAATTGGTCGGTGTTTCTGCTCTCGATGAAAGTAAAAGTAAACGTGGAGACATGGAATATCCGCACGATGTTTGAACCCAGCAAGACAGCCCAGATTGCAAATGAGATGAGAAGGTATCACATTGAATTGCTTGGAATATGCGTAAGCGGATGGAATGGGAGTGGACTCTCCAAACTGTCAACTAAAGAGTCAATAATCTACTCTGATATTGTCACCCAGATGACAACCATTAGCACACTGAGGGAGTGGCTATCATGATGTCCCCAACAGCATCGAAGGCTCTCATGCAGTGGGAACCAACCTCCTCCAGGATCATGACAGCAAGGTTCAACTCAAAAGGAAGGAAGGTCACAATCATACAATGCTACGCACCTATAAATAATGCAAAGCAAGAGAAAAAGGAGGAATTCTACATACAACTTCAATCAACACTGGACAAGACGTCAGTTGGTGATATCAAAATTCTAATGGGCAACATGAATGCCAAACTGGGAGGGGACAACACAGGAAGAGAACTAACCATGGGTTGAGAAGCGCTCGGTGAAATGAACGAGAATGGAGAATTGTTTGCAGAATTCTGTGCATTCAACAATTTGGTGATTGGAGGCAGTGTGTTCGAGCTCAAGGATATCCACAAAGCGACATGGATTTCACCAGGACACACTAAAAATCAGATCGACTTCATTTCAATCTGAAGAAAGTGGAGACGCAGCCTACTTGACACAAGGTCAAGAAGAGGAACAGATGTAGGTTCACACGACTATCTAGTGCAGGGAACCTATCTTCAAAATCGAGATGAAAGCCTTCAAAGAAGTTGATGATCTACAACTGTTCAGTTTCAATACCCAGAACAGAAACTGAAGGACGAAAATACAAACGACATCATCATACAAGCCATCAGAATAAAATGGGAGATATTCAGGAACATCCCTGAAGAAACCTGTGTGGAAGAACACTGGAAGTCTTTGAGAGGGATGTGGAAAGAAACCTGCATAACCGTATTAGGAAGGAAGAAGAAAGAAGATAAGGAATGGATGTCGATGGAAACTTGGAAGCTGATAGAGTAGAGGAGGATGGTGAAGCAGAAGATAAACCAGTGTAAGGATGACCAACCTATAAAACACTACACTGGACAAAGAAGTGAAGAAGAGTGTGTGCTAAAAAGACAAAAGACACTTTTGTGACACACTTGCAAATGGAGCAGTACAGGCTGCCGGCTGGTAAGAGAGACCTGACAACATTGTATCAAATAACCAGGTTACTATCTGGGAAGAGATCAACACACATGAAACTAATAAAAGATGATGAAGAAAATTTAATTGCGAAAGAAGAGAAACAAAGGAAACGATGGGTTGACCACTTCAAAAAGCTCTTGAATCGACCACCACATTCACTTCGTCCAGAAATACCACCTGCAGCCGCTGAACTACAAGTGAACATAAATTCGCCGACAAAAATGGAAGTCCTGAAAGCCATAAAGCTACTGAAATGCAGGAAAGCAGCAGGACCAGATGGAATCCCGCCAAAAGCACTGAAAACAGACGCAGAGACAGCAGCAGAGATGCTCACACCACTATTTCAGAAGGTATGGAAGGAAGGGAAGGTACCTGGCGATTGGAAGAAAGGTTACCTTGTCAAAATCCTAAGGAAGGTAGACCTCAGTGTTTGCAAGGACTGGTGCAGAATCACTCTCCTGTCCACCCGAAGCAAGCAAAATATTAGGCCGCATCATCCTGGGGAAACTAAAGGATGCACTGGATTCAGAAAGTACAAATCACGTGCAGGAAAAATTGCAACGCTACTCTACGCATCATCATAGAACAGAGTATAGAATGGCAGTCAATTCTCTACCTCAACTTCATCAAGTTTGAGAAGGCCTTTGACAGCGTCGACCGAGAAGTAATTTGGAAACTGCTACTTCAACACTACTGACTACTACAAACATTTATCAATCTCCTTCAACAACTATATGAAGACACCACATGCCAAGTAATTCACAATGGGAAGCTCAGTAATGCTTCTGAAGTGAAGACAGGAATGAAACAAGGCTGTCTACTATCACCCATGATATTCCTCATTGTAATGGACTGGATCATGCAACAAACATCTGTGAAGAGTGAGAAGAGAGGGATAAGCTGGACCGCGGAGAGGAACCTAGGAGAATTGGATTCAGCTGATGACTTCTGTCTAATGTCTCATGGCACAAACATGAAGATGTACAGGCGAAAACTGACAAGTTGACAGAAGAGGCAGGTCAGCCAAAGAAGGTGGGACTTCAAGTGAATATAGAGAAGACGGAGGTGATGAAGATACACAACCAACGCCTCCACCACCACCAACAACAACAAGCACCAATCAGCATCAACGGGAGAAATTTAAAGGAAGTAGCCTCTCCCACCTGTTCCAACTGCAGGCGGCACAGACGAGGACGTCAAAGGCAGGATCGGAAAAGCAAGACAGGCATTCGTTAGCCTGAAACCAGTTTGGAGATCTACTGAGCTCAGCATGTGGAACAAGATTCAGATTTTCAACATCAATGTCAAGTCAGTGCTGCTACATGGTTCAGAGACTTGGCTCGTTACGAAAGGGATTTTCAACAAACTACAGATACTCATCAACAACTGCCTACATTGGCTTGTTACTGAAGATCAGATGGATGGCCAGAATAATAAGAATAAGCAACAAGGAACTCTGGCTGGTTAGCGACCAACCAACCGTGAAGCTATCGCTCATCAAATATGCACTTGGAGGAAGTGGATATGGACTGTGCATGCACTGAGAAGACCATGTGAGGACATCACGCTCCAGGCCAGGGCGTGTAGTGGACTCCAGATGGGAAGCGACGATTTGGGCGTCCGAGTGTGACATGGAGGAGATGGTGTGAGGAAGAAATGAGAGCTTGTGAGCAGTCGTGGAGCGATGTTCAAAAGTTTGCGGAGAACAGAGTGGAATGGAGACGTGCTACTGAATCCGTATGTTCCATTAGGAATTCAAGGGACAAATAATAAATAATAATAGGTCTACCAATTATGTAGATATTTATGTTTCCAAGTAATTTTAATCCCAATATGGCAGTTATTGAAATAACGAATTAGATTTATGGTTTTTTTGTTGGAAAAAACACTACTTTTCTGAGTGATACCTAATTATTTCTTATGGTAGGCTTCATTCGAGCCAGCCAGCCAACCAGACTTATCATTCATACTAATCAACACTTATCTGAATGATTCTTATGCGAATTTAAACTTCAGAATGATAACAAATAGTAATTCACTAACCTTTATCAAGTTCTTACTGGGTCAATATCTAATAGGAACTTGGAGATAAAACAGGTGAAACTGTCGAGTTCTACGGTACTTGATTTGCTTCTAAATGACCTTGAAAGTGACAATAAAGAAATGGTTATTTCTTTCTAATTTATTAATACAAAAGTTAAAGGGAATGAGGTTTAATAGTAATCCATCTAACCTTTTGACTGCTCTTCTTTATGTATAAAATAAAAGTCAGTATGACTGTATGACGTTAAACGGTCTACACTGTGATAAAAGATGTAAATAAGATCTTGAAGTGACCCCACATCATCTCTTCAAAGATTGTGATTGTAATCAAGAGTTTCGAAGCATTAAAAGCTATTTAATTAGCAGTAACAATTGTATATTATCAACGCATTAGTGGACTCATACGCTGGACGCTGGACAAAGAGGCCAGTAGTAAGTGACTTATTGCTAATATCGATGAACTCAAAGTAAATGGAACACAGGTTTACATCTTTAAGTGAGTCTGAGCTATGTATGCCTTGCAGATGAATGTTTGAGGGAGAGATGAAAGCTTCTACGCAGCCATGGAGCCAAGTTGAATAGACTTTAGAGAAGAGAGTGAAATGGCGACGTGATACTGACGTTGTATGGTTCCACTAGGAACTCAGTGCACAAATAATAAAAAGTAATGAAATTAAGTGGACTCTATGAGATAATCACAGTTTAATAGTCTGGTGTTATTCATAGTGAATAATGAAGATCTAGGTAACGGTCAGATTTGGTCCTGAAGCCTTTGGGTAACCAGGTCGAACTCATGATTATTAACAAGATATCACCTAAAATGAATACGTATTGGTTTAATTCAGTTCAAGTAACATTAACACCATAAGCTCTGAAATAAAAAAAATATCACAGAGAAAGAAGTACAACTCAAATGAAGAAGAAAAACAGAAAGTGATAAACAGAGGAGACAAATACAAAAAGACCATAAGTAACACGATGCTAATGGTCCATCAGATGATAAGATGTACACGCATCTTGACAATCATCTATTCATAAACCTCTCAATAATTGTAACTCTAAGTGGAGCTTGTAATAACATGTACAACTCAGGAACTAAGGAATCCCAAGTCAGAACGAAACTACTCTCTGTTACTTCCGGCAAGTCTAAATCTCTCAACATGGCCCAAAAGCCTAAGACTTCATGCACAGATCTCATGTTCTAGTCTGGTCGCTCCACGACCTTTGCTAGCCTAAACCTGCGCTACAATAAACTAGACAAACTCATGTCTATGATTACCTGGCATCTTTTCATATATTTCTAAGCAGAAAAAAAGCAAACTCAATTATAACAAACTAATACAATTGTACGAAAATTAATCAAATTGCAATATTATAAAGAAAACAATAACAACAACAACAAATAAAAATAGAATGTGACCCATTGTTTCCGTTAACAAAATATCATGAAATAAATAAGTAGAATAAAGAAAATAAGTTTTAATTTATTAACTACAAGAATAATACAACTGCATATAATTCAAAAGTATAATACACCATGTCATGGTGATAAATGTCTTATTCTCTTGATACATACATATTGAAGGCATTGAACACATTGAACAAGGTAAACCGGGCGGTAATATGAATGAAATCACAAACTATGATATTGTTTGTGTACATGGACGAATATATAGATACGTATACATTAATAATTAAAAGTAAATTCATTATGATAAAAAAAAGATGCCTATAAAAAAATAATTATTATAAAGCTTTAAAGTTATACAATACAAAAATGCTTCTTTTCAAGAAGAAACACACAAGTATAACGATGAAATAGACTGACATAAGTCGTGATAAAAACAAAGCTAACTAGTCTTTTTTGTAGTAGCAGTAGTGTGAGCAGTAGTAGTAGTAGTAGTAGTAGTAGTAGTAGCAGTAGTAGTAGTAGTAGTAGTAGTAGTAGTAGTAGTAGTAGTAGTAGTAGTAGTAGCAGTAGTAGTAGTAGTAGTAGTAGTAGTAGTAGTAGTAGTAGTAGTAGTAGTAGTAGTAGTAGCAGTAGTAGTAGTAGTAGTAGTAGTAGTAGTAGTAGTAGTAGTAGTAGTAGTAGTAATAGTAGTAGTAGTAGTAGTAGTAGTAGTAGTAGTAGTAGTAGTAGTAGTAGTAGTAGTAGTAGTAGTAGTAGTAGTAGTAGTAGTGGTAGTAGTAGTAGTAGTAGTAGTAGTAGTAGTAGTAGTAGTAGTAGTAGTAGTAGTAGTAGTAGTAGTAGTAGTATGAGTTATTCAATGATTATAACTTTATGTGGAGTGAATAATGTTAGTCGATTGTAATACATGTGAATATGTCTCATGTTGAATAGGATAATTATCAGCTACCAGATCGAAACGGTGTTTACAATCACATTCATCGATATTACTATTAGTAGATGATGTTAGAAAAGGCAGAGTAGTGACAGTGTCACACATAGTTGATTGTCTTTTTACTCGATAACTATTGTTTAAATGAATTGATTTTGATCTTTTTATCGCATTGATTGTATCTAAACACGCTTGAATAGCATGACAATTTTGGATTACTTCTAGTGGATTAGCGTCTGCATCTAGTTTAACTGTTAAATGCTTAATTGTATTCAATATTTTAATGAGTATATCATATTGAATTTGGTTGTATAATAGATAATCATCATTTTGAATTGATGTAAGCAAACTGTTTGATGAATTCAACATTGAAGTACACCTAGAATGTATAGTTTCATTATCTTTCGATTGTATTGTTTGACTAAATGATTCATATGTATTATTATAAGGTGAAATAGGTGTGTAACACGGAGATTTTCTATTGAGAACTGGAAGTGTAAAAAGGAAATTCGAAAGATAAATTATCTTGTAAATTACTATATATATATATATGTGAAGACCTTGGGTGATAGTCGCGCTATATCGTGAACTGACAGAAGTTAGAAATTGTAAACCACTGGGAACCGTCGCAGTAGCTAAATGGTTAACGCGTTCGCCGTGAAACCTTAATGTCCTGGGTCCGATCCCTAGGTGGGTCGGGGGTACGTATTGCTGAGGGGTCCCGTGCTGCGACGAGACAGCAGTCAAGTGCTCTTGGGCTTTCAATGGTTCCCCAACTGATATCACTGCATGATGAATACTACTTGTAAAATAAATATGTCATATTGAAGTGGATAGTAAGAGATTTCTACTTCTCAATACTTCTACACAATGGATACAAACCGTAAGATAAACATAAATCCCATGATATTCTAAACATCAGACTGACATATTTTAGAGACTTCTCAGGAAGACTACTCAACAGTACGCAATGAATACTACCTTAAAAATGAAATCAGCGTATGCTTTAAGATGAGTGTCACGAAGTTTCCAAAAGAAGTTATGACTTCTGAGGTCAATCAGTTGGAAGTGAAACAAATTTCACTCCAGAACCTTGGTGCATAGTCACGTTACATAACAAATTGGTAGGAGTACTAAAATATGAGTTAACCGCAAGACCTGAAGGTTCTGCTAGAATGAAACATCTGTTCAATGCTATGGCGGTATAAGAGCTGTTCGTGCGACCTGTTTCTTTATATGTCTACTCATAAACGATGATGTTTTTCTGTCTCTCTATTTGTAGAATTGTTTTTTTCCCCCAGATACTTGATGCTATGTTCATCTAGTTGTCTTTGCAAATACACATTTCAATTAGTATCACAATGAGATGTGATATAATCACCTGTCTAGTCATGAGGGTTTATGCTACACCATGGATTTTGTCTTCTTCGGAATAATAACTTTTGATACATACTACTGTATTTCGATAACTTCGGTAAGTCTGTCTTAAAAGTATACTGTTCGATTCCCTTCTATATGATAGTATAATGTACATATCTTTTTCTTTACAGAATACTGAATAAATCGCGATGTTGAATCATTGCTTCATTGACCGATCAGTCTGACGGAATATGTATATATTGAAATTTCATGAGGATCTTAGGGATTTATTGATTTCAAGTTGATATTGATTAGGAACTGGCTGGGATCAGTCTGAGAACCTCTGAAAAGCTGAGAGTACTGAACAGATGATTCATCCCTGTATAGGACCCCTGTTCGGTTTAAAAAAAAAAGAGAGAAAAAGGATCAAATGGGATGACGAACTAAGTCAGACTTTCTTCACTTGTTAGTTCAATCGAGGTGATCGGGAAGTGAGCCTGCTTCACCTGGATTTTACGCTTGTTGACACTCGTCATTATAGTATATCTCAAACCTTGAAAGAACCAATTTCCCTTCTTGGATTTAGATGAGCTACAAGTGTCATCTTATAGGAGAGGAATGGATACATTCACTAGTCCATTGACAGTAACTGATTTCATGCTGTGTAGTCCTGAGTCCCTAATGAACTCTATGGACCATGTCTGGAATGCAGCAGACGTTATTTGATAAGTGACAACCATCATAAAGTTTTTAACACGGTCTTATTATCCGTTGGTACTCATGTGGATCTAGGAATTTTAACCTCTTGATATCGCACCTGTGGTCCGAACCCTGGTCACCCAGTCTCATAACCTGTGACATTACCACCGAGGTATTCGAAAACCCACTAGTGGCCTGTAGTACTGGCTTGTATATATATTGATTGGCCACGGGAGAGCGATAGATTTCATGTTAGCAAGTCCTGAGGGCTAACAGAATTCTCTCGATCATTTCTCAATATACCAAGTATACTAGAGAACTCAGTCCGTCAGTGTAGTTTGATAACTGTTATTAGTAAGTTGGAGATAAACAAGAGGAACCTTTTGATTTTGTTAGGTGCAAAACACACACAAAGACAATCCTTATTAACTTCCATTTTAGGCTAGATTTTGTTATGATTTCAAAACTGCTATGTGGTAAGACCATCAAAGATGCACGAATGTCAAGTGTCAGACATCAACATTCAACAAATTTCTAGTTGATTCCCCACCTGACTAATTAATGGAGAATACGTGATGGATGTGTAAAAACGTGTATTGGGGTCGAAAAATTGAAGGCCCAAAAACAAAGGAAGATATATCTAATATATAAATACTTGGCTGTTTGAAATCATTCTTTTGATTGGCTGATCCACAGTCTGTCCGTCTAACTATAGACGTGATCACATGAAGTACACTTTGATTGGTTGCTCTCCAGACTAGTCTCTTCTCTCGATCCCCCATTGGTCAAATATTGCTTCCAATCATTTGTTGACGTAATCACCTTCACTCCTCCAATCAGACACCAAATACGTCTGAATATCATACAGACAGACCAAAAGCAAAGGAAGTGAAAAACGTAGTGCTATTTTTCTAGTAACCAAAACTACTTTTACTGCCATTTACTTATTGAAGCCAGAATTTTTCTTGGTACCGTTTTAGAATTGTGCATGATCATTTGTGAAAGCATTTTAAAGGTGTTACATTGATCTTAGTGACTTACAGTGAAATTCAAGACGCTTATTTCGTCCCATTTGGAACTCGTCAGCCGGATGTACCTGCACCACCTTGAGTGATGCTGTTCCCTCTGAGACTAGAACCCAGTACCCATCGATTCAACCCCGAAAAGGTGTATGGTAAACCTCTGTGTCCACTTCAAAACGTTCAACATATTTCAAGATCTTCAAGGAAAATACTATTCGATTTGAAGGTTTCTGAAGGATTGATTGGTTGATTTCAAGGTAGTGTTTATTACAGATTGATATCAGTTCGAGAACCCCTAAAAACTGTTTCATCCCAGCATGAGACTTTTTATCAATGTGAATCCACGATCCCATGAGAGATCAAACCCAGGACGTTTGGTTCTCGTGGTGGGCACGTCACCTTCCAACCGCTGGGTCAGAATCCAGTTATCCATATTTTGCTACTTTTTTAAATTCGTGACACAACGCGATCACCATTCACTGACATTTGTGAGTATTGTTCCTCACGTCAGACCTGACTGACTCCGAAGGTCACAACTTCTCATTAGAACTCCAGAAAATCAATCTCCAGACATGTCACTGATAGGCACCAAATAGTAATTCAATAAGACGGTTTTTGAAGATTGGTCGACTTCAGGATAGCATTCATCGCGAGCTGAGATAAGTTAGAGAACCGTTGTCTTTGATAGATCAGTGACCGATGAAATCTCTGGATGGATACAAAAGGCTCTTTTGGCTTTTACCAATTTACTCCATTTGTAGAGCCACAGAGATATCGGATTGTCGGTTAAGGGTCGCGTGTACTTCACAGAAGTCCTCTCTGTTCTACTGTATGGTTGTGAAATATGGGCATTAAAGGTAAAAGAAACCAAAAGGCTTCAAATGTTTGACCGCAGTCATCTTAGAGGCATAGGCTGCGTTTCGTGGTGTCACCATATGAGTAACACAGAAGTCAGGTATTGAGATTTTGGGGAGAAGAGGTAAGACAGTTGATGCGATTGTGAATCTTCACTGACTGAGATGGCTGGGACATGTGTGATATGTGCCTGACTAAGGTCTAACTCGTCACCGAAGTAAGTTCAGACTGGAAAACGACTTGGGGTGGCCAAACTAAATCATGACACCAATCCATGAAATCCTTAACCGTTCGTTATAGCCATATGGGTTGGTTGGGGTCCGTCGGAGACTCTAGGTGATATGGCCCAGAACCGATGTCAGTGGCACAAATGTATACACACATTAACCTCATGCTAACCGCTATATTTAATCTCATCATTTCCTCACTACCCTTAACTCTCTTTTACTACTTTCCACTTCTTTTAATGAAGGGCTGTGGTTCGACCGATGAAGCAGTGGATAGGTAAAGATTTTCCCCACGGAAACGTAAGTGACAAGGCGGGCGTATTAAGAACACATCAAGAAAGAAGCCGAAGAGGAAATGAGGCACATTATGCAATAGACTGTCTTATTGCAAGGTGTACCATATTTAACGACTACTGTAACACATTTTATCGCCAATAAACATTCCTTCTTTCTTCTCTGTCTTCTCATTCCCTTCACTATGACTACCATAACGTTCATAACAGGGAGCCATAACTAAACATACAGTAACTACTTTCGTTTTTACCCTCTAATGACTTCCGTGTGAATATTTGTAGTAAGTAGTATCTTTAGTATGATAATAAAATTTTAACACAAGTAGACACAAACTACTAACAACCCAACAGTTTCAACACAATACAATATCATCATTCTATATTATACGGGGCTTATTGATTCACATCCAAAAAACTGTTTTCACGCACAAGTATGGAAATACAAGGAACATGGATATTATCACTACTACAACCACAGTGAGTATGCAAATTGGTGTTAAAAGAAGGCAGCTGTAATGACATATACATATGGGATACACCTTAGTCATTTTTTCTAAATAACAGGTCTGACAGACAAAACCAGCGTAGAACTGCACCTTTCAACACTCCTTGTATCAAAAGTCAGGCTTCATGGACTGGTATCATGTCTAGGTCTGGTAATCTGAGCCTTCTCCCAACCCAGCCTAACTTCGCCTAACACTGCATATCAAGTTGCAGCCTGTACAACACATGTCCAATCTATCTTAGTCACTGAAGGTTCATGAATCATCGACCACCTTCTCTTCATTCGATATTATTCACATGGTGGTTCTACTAAACGCCAGCGATACTAAGAAGACACCTATGGTCAAAAACCTGTAGTCTTTTCATACATTCTGCTTTGAATGGCCATGCCTCATAGCCATATAACAAGACATAATAAACGGCAGAGTACAATTCTCGTCTCGTAGCAAATAGTAGGAAATTTCACCAGTCGGCATCAGAGAATATCAGACAAGCCTTCTGTATCCGAGCTGAAATTTCATCAGCGACC